TTAATCATTGCGAATCTAAACCTTGAACACGTTCGAACGATTTCATCGGAAATTTCGACGCTTCATGAGACTTGTAATAATTACTATAGCACATTTGAACGTGGTGATTTGTTCGTTTGTCTGTACGCTAACGGACGCAATTTTGCGTCTTGTCGCTTGAAATTTTGAGGATGGACTCGAGAGACACCCTAAATTTTCTGTATAGATTTTGGCGGCGATCTGACGACGGGAACCTGTCGACGTCGATCGAATCGATAAAAACCGTGTTTGGTATCGTTTCGATAATTTTTCACGCGTAGAATCGACTGGAAGCACGTTGAAAGCTCTATAACTCGTTGACGATACTTGGTCGTCGACGTCGGTCGTCGTGAAATCAAGAATAATCGTGTTCGGTATCGTTTTCGATTGTTTCGGACACGTTTAATCGTTTAATCTTTAGATCTCTTGTTCCACTGATATGGGTACTCGAAATTTTACATGCACATTCGCGTGAGGCCTGGTGGACCCAACTCACGTAGTGTGGACTTTTTATGGACGAGGAAATACTGGGTTTTGATTGGAGCACTGATACCGATACGGAATGGTGTGAATAAAAAATATATTTGCTTTAATAGCATTATAAAACAACGTAGATTAGGTGAGCACTTAATGGACGTAAATGTGAATTGAATAAAATAAGAAATGTGTCGGAGAATAATTTACTGGGTGCATGTATACACTGAAGAATGTGTACTCATTTTGTTTATGTATGCTAATGAAGGAAGTCGTATACATGTATGCTCTGTATACAGTAACGATGATGAGGATGAAGATGAAGATATGAAGAAATATGTTTTGCACGTCTGTGATAACAGCTATAGTAAAATGTATGTACTAGAAATTTATATTAATGCGTATACATATACTTGTACATATGTTGAATACAACTTTTAGTAAATCCAACATAATGCACCAAAACTATACCTAAGATTACCAAAAACGAATTAATGCAATATACGAATTAATACGATTATACCTTTTCATCATAACAGTATTATCAACCAACATTTGTTGACATAAATGAGCTGAACATATTTGTTGATATCGACCAACTAAAACAATATCGTGAAATAATAAGTATCTAAATATCTTAACCCAGCCTGAAGTTTGCAAACGTAAGAATGGTGAAAAATATACAAATCTGCCCTGTATAGTCTATTCAGAAGTTCACGAAGAAAAGCAAGTTGGTTCAAAGTATAAACAATACTTCAAAAGTAGAGCAAGAATGTGTAACAGGGCAAAATGTAATTTGTAAGTGCAGCAAACCGAGAAATAAAATAAATGTTCCCCATCCAGACAGTTCAGGAGACTCCAGTCTTCTTAACAGCGTAATACATTCTTATACATGTGTTCATTTTTATCTTTTAGATCTTATTACCGTGTTTGTCAGCGTACGAGGTGGTTTGTGCAAGTATATTAGATCATAATTTCGTTACCAATGCAGAAGTAGAAAAATTTCAAAAGAGGAGGAAGGAGTCAAAGAAAAATATGGGATCATGGGATCATTGTATCATTGAACCATGGGATTCATGGGACCAAATTTTTGTTAGAAGTGTACTCATGCACACACATATAATTGCACAATTTTTCTTAAATGGAATCACATAATTTTTTACGCAGTTGTATTTTGCCGTTCCACCTAAAATGTATTGGGACAGAAAAATTATATCGAGGTATTTCAAGAAAATTTATCGAAGATCAAACGCTTCGTTACTGTACATTTCAGACGCTTTGCAATTTTCATAACTGAGAAAAGGCGATCTGTTTATTGTTGCACACTGTATTACCGTTCTTTTAGATCCCACAGAATTTACAGGATTTGCGTAAATCTTATCTTTCAAATAACCACATAGGAAAAGTCGAGGGGATCAGATCGGGCTGGCCAAGATATCGAGGCACCGACGAGTTTGCCATACTTATTTTTTAAATATTGTATGATCACCGGTGAACCGTGCACCATCTTGCTGGAAGAACTCCAAATTTGGTTGCCATGAACCAGCATCTTCGATAACGATATTTTCTTAAAATATCTCGATACACTTTTTTACTATTGTACCCCAGTAATTTTTTACGTAGAGAGTCCAACCGAGTGAATGTTTTCCATTAAAAAAATAATGCAACTGCACATGAATCACTGTACTTGGTCTCAGGAACGTGGTACTTTGAACCATCTTTTTCTGACTTTATGAGAAAATTGTATGAGGAAATTGGAAAATTTCTAAATTTAGAAGATTTGAAAATATCGTGAATTGAAGATACAGATTAGTATGCAACTCTAAACCTCTAACCTCTACGTAACTGTACGTATGGAATTTTTACTTTCGTCACCCCCACCTGCAAATGACTACAACTCGCATTCATACGAAGGAGAAAATTAACCGGACTAATATCGCCGGGTAATTAATTACAAGCAGTCGTGGGAAACTGGGAAACCTTTTGACAGTGAAATCGATCGAAAGACTTTCCCTTCGCCTTATGCTCGCGAAACGTTCTACATTGTAGATCGCCGACAAACGATCTAAAGTTGCGTCAGGGTAATTAGCTCGTTCTCCGTTTTCACGGGGCTGAGAAACCGCGATCAGATCGTTTTTTTCGATTTCGACGGTCAATCAAGCGTTCCTTCAGCGATATTCAACGATTGGTAATCGATTGAGATCGAGATCGAGTTGCACGAAAATAAAAGAGAGAAATACACGTATGTACGTACGCATGTTCGCTGATTTGGCAATGATTGATCGATTACCTGACACTGCAATGGGTAGATGCAGTTTTGTGGTAAATGTGGTTTATTGATTTAGGTGTCACTTTTAGGATGTTCAAGTACTCGCATCAATATTAATACGTTAATTGGAATAGTGAAATGCTCCTGTTAACTTAGTATCTTAGGATTTCACTAATTTCTTAAGTTAAGATTCGGGTTATCGCGAGTTTTGATTTACAGCTCAGCTTTATTGGAATTAGGTCTTAAGTTATAGATTTTCGCTGGTTTCAAAGTTAATTCTATCTTACTTGGCTTAGCTATTTCAAATTTTAACGTAATTTTTACTGTAATTTCTGTTTTAAGTTTCAACCTAAATTTCAGTGTTAATTTTACTACAATTTCTGTATTAAGCTGTAATCTAAATTTTAGTGCAAATTTTATTGGAATTTCTATTTCAATCATTTCTATGACAGATAACATTTAATTTGAATATCTATTTCAAGTGTTAACCTAAATTTTAGTTTGAATATTACAATTTCTATTTCAATCTTTAATCTAAATTTTAGTGTAAATTGTACTCAAATTTTCATTTTGAGTTCTAAATGTTAGCATAAATTTTATTCTTTCTTTTTTAACTTCTAACCAAAATTTTAGTGTAATTTTTATTCTAAGTTTTGAATTAAATTTTATTTTAAATTTTAAATTAATGTATTATATTGAGTCTAGTCTCTTTCTAAATTTCACTTGAGTTCCTCCATCGGATTAAAATACAAAAAAGTTAAATTTAGGAAGGTTAATAATATTTAAGGAAGAACTCTTGAATGAAATTTTCAGCGCAAAACCGAACGACACTCGACCGGTTAAATTTGTACGAACCGATCGATAAATGGATAAACAAATGAATTCTTTTCTGCTTCGTCTTTCATAAATCTTGCAGAGGGAAGATTCCGGTTCGTTTTATAAATATGCATGTCATTTCGACTGACGCAGACTGGTAATAATTCAATTTATCTGGGAATCCACTTCTGTAGGTCGGAGTTATTTCTGTAAATACCAAAACCGTGGAATATCGTTAAGCGAAGGTATCGAATGCACGGAAAGGGGTGTTTTCAAAGAAACGAAGAATAATTTCATTTGTATAATTAAACTAGCAACTGTTTGTTCAACTTAATCAATTCTATCGTAAACATTGAACGTTCACGAAAGAATCTCACAAATACACACAAAAAAAGGCTCTTGTCAGATCCATATGATGTGCAAAATCTGTCCAGCAACCTCTCCGAAGTGCATATCTGGTAATGTTAATGCCGGCGGTATATGCAAGAGTTTCTTTAAAGTTCTGCATCTTTGCGGGAAAAAATGGTAGCGGTTTTTCACATACTGGAAATTAAAGATGAAGGTTTGTACTTTATGCTGCTGTAAACAGTATCACCAAAAAAAAATGTGGCAAGTCCATGCATTTCGTCAAACTTTGTAATTTTCAATATAGCAAACATGACCTCACATTTACGGTGTTATTGTGGTAGTGATGCATCAAATCTAAAATCAAACTACAGCGTCGTAAAGTAGAGATCTCAAGCTTTAATTTGAAAAAAAAGAGCATAACTTTGCGATGATTTTTCGCGGAGTTATCATCAGTCAAATTTGGCCAATTTTTGCCTAAAATTTTTCTATGCCATATTTCTTTTGAGCAGTATAACTACAATACTGTGATATTGTAATGATATTGAAAAATTGAAGAATTAATGTGATCTGGTAATCTTGTAAAATAATCAAGCACTAAAATGATAAAATAATGAACCAGTAAACCAGTGAAATGGCGAAACTATAAACACAGAAATCGATAAAAATATCCAAAGTATCATGTATCTCGTAGCCCATTCCCACTATTCAAACTCAGTATCTAATTCAACAACGAATCTAACACGTGTACCACTCGAAACGAAAGGGTAACTATTTTTACGCCGTACGTTTTATTTTTCATCGCGTTGTCGTAACACGAGAGTATGCATACCACCGAGCGTATTTCTCCATCCAGGATTAAAAAAAAAAAGGCAGCAAAGTTTTCGCGATAAAATCGGAATTGTCTCGCGTTAGAATTTCAGATAACGGCGTTGCAGAGGGTTTAAAACGACCTGAAACCCTGCAGATTCGAAGGGAATAGCGTAATCTAGATCACTCAATCATTCGTTATCGAGCCATCCCCATAGGCTCTGTGCATACAGCTCCCATTTTTATTTTTTTTTAACGTTCCACTCACCTGGTCGACGATCTCCGTTAGGTCGTGCAGACTTATGTTGTAAATGGCGTTCCTGAAAAAGAAAAAAGAACGAAACGAGAACGTTAAGTGTTGCACCGTAAATCCTTCGCCTAATCTTTTCCTATCTCGTATTCTAGCTTGGCTGACACCCCGGGATAAGCATTAGTAATTACGACAAACACGACAACACTGAAAAGTGCTTACAATAAAAAGGGACATTTCTTCTTTTACAGAAATAAGATTTTCTGACCAAAATTTGTTCGTGGAACTACTTTGTCTTGTTTTGGGTAATGGTGCCTGCATTTGGGTTCAATATGACTTCGAGCATAGCTTTTACAGTGATACGAGTTAAAATATTTCAAGCTTGGTTTTATTGAAGACAAGTCTAATTTTAGTCATTTATAATTAACACTAGAACTATCACATTTGTATTTTATGTATGTGATTTTTATGTGATGTATTTCATTTTTAAAGTTTCACGTTTTCAATCTTTCAATCCCTATATTCTTAAATTTCCAATTCTGCAATCTCCAAATTTTCAAATTTTAAATCTTTCAATGTATAAATTTTCACATTTCCAATCTCTCAATCCCTATATTCTCAAATTTCCAATCTTTCAATCTACAAATTTTCAAATTTTAAATCTTTCAATCTACAAATTTTCACATTTCCAATCTCTCAATCCCTATATTCTCAAATTTCCAATCTTTCAATCCCCAAATTCTCAAATTGCCAATCTTTCAATCTCCAAATTTCCAAATTTTAAATCTTTCAGTCTACAAATTTTTACATTTCCAATCTCTCAATCCCTATATTCTCAAATTTCCAATCTTTCACTCCCCAAATTCTCAAATTGCCAATCTTTCAATCCTCAAATTTTCAAATTTTAAATCTTTCAGTTCACAAATTCTCAAATTTCCAATCTTTCAATCTCCAAATTTCCAAATTTTAAATCTTTCAATCTACAAATTTTCACATTTCCAATCTCTCAATCCCTATATTCTCAAATTTCCAATCTTTCAATCCCCAAATTCTCAAATTTCAAATATTTCAGTGCAAAAATTTTCACATTGTCAAATTTCCAGATTCTGAGATTTAGAAACCTTATACTTCCTAATCTCTATTAACTGCAATTTCTCCACTTCCCAAATTTGCATACTTGTAAATCTCCTAATCTCTAAATAACTATATCAAAATTCCAAATTTTCTAATCAATAGATTTTTAAATTTTGTAATTTTCTAATCCACAAATTTTCCAATTTCCTAATTTTTTAATTTCTTAATCCACAAAATTTTTAAATTGTGTAATTTTCCAATGCACAAAATTTTAAATTGCCTAATTGTTCAAACCACAAATATTCAAATTTTCTGATCCTCAAATTTCCAATTTTCTCAAACCCCAAAATTATCAAGTTTATATATTATACATACATAATTATATATTACACATACATAATTTCCAAATTTCTCGAACCCCAAAATTATCAAGTATAATTCTAAATATAAACTTGATAATTTTAGTGTTTGAAAAATTTGGAAATTTGAAGATTAGAAAATGTGAATATGAATATTTGTAGATTTGTAGATATAATATTGCATTATGTACATATTACTATAATATACATGTAAAATGTAGTATATATATATCATAATATTTCATTTAATATTAGGGGTACCGAAAAGTATTCAAAATTTCTTCGATGATTTCAAAGTTTTTCTATGAAGAATTGAAGGACTTTTTTTAAGAAGGAAATAATTGCCTTAACGCTGGCAAAAAACATTAGAAAGTGATGGAAATTATTTTGTTGATTCAAGATTTTTTTAATAAATAAATATTTTTTACCAGCAAACAAAATTTTGATTACTTTTCGGTACCCCTAATACATAATATAATACGCCATTATAATATATCACACTGTTATCTATTACATATTGCCACCATTTAAAAATTGCTTCAACCTTGCATAATTTTAGTGCTCTTCAATTCTAACATCTAAAAACAATATATACTTACACATAATAAATTACATACATTCCTTTAATTTATAAATGAATATTTATAACTCTCTGTAGGGGTTATACTCTTACCCCACCCTCTGTCTAATAACCATAAACTCCCACAGCAGAACTTCCATAAAACATCCGCAACTTTAAATATTATACCATCAAACGCATCCACAATATCGAATAAATTGTTTAAATCACGCAGCGCCTGAAACTGTATTTCGCAATCGTTCCACAATATTTCGATCGCATTTAAATCCAACGACAAAGGCGTAACATCGTTTCAATCGTAGGAACAAAATGTTCTCATTTACGCGTTGGTCATATTGCGCGTATTAAGGGATGATAATAACAATATATCGCAACGCGTTACACAGCTCGATCGAAGATTAATTTTTTACAACTCGACGAAGCTTTAAACGAATAATGGGATTTTAAAATCTGTTAGCTACGAAAATCGCGTGTTCTATTCGTGTACGTTACTGCTGTTATACAATTGTGATTCGATTGATTCATCCCGTAACAAATCTCGTTTCATTTTTGTTCCATTTTTGTTTTTAGAGAATAACTAGACTAATAGAATATCATAGTCTTGTTAGGACGCATTTTGCAATTATTTCACAAAAAGAGTACGGGCTTTTGTTTCGCGCGATACTTTCTCTCTTAATATCAAACGAAATCAGTTTTGCAGAAATTTTAATTGTTCTAATTTTCCTGTGGACCGTGAGTTATTGTGTTCCTATAATAGCGCTATTTTATGCTGTTCTCTGGTAGTTTCGGGGAATTGCGCCAATTGCGCGTTTTATGAATCGGATTATTTCTATTGATCTTTGAGTTTGGTGTTTTGTGGAGATTCATTTTTACGGACTTGATGTTTCAGGAAATTTTGCACGATTCAAAAATATTTTCAGACCGTGCATTTTTTTATTTTTGGTATTTGTAAATATTTTACTTGGCAGTTTATTTTTGCGAATTGGGCAGTTATACAATTTTTGCACGATTCAATCATTTTTTCAGATTAGCTATTTTCTAATTTTTAGGATCTATAAATTTTATTATGTTGCAATTTATTTTGGCGAATTAAGCATTTTGAAAATTTTGGCACAATTCAATAACTTTTGCAAATTGATCATTTTCTAATTTTTGGGATTTGTAAATTTGTTTACGTTGCAATTTATTTTTGCGAATGGGGCAGTTCTACAATTTTGGCAAGGTTCAATAACTTTTGCAAATCGATCATTTTCTAATTTTGGGGGTCTGTAAATTTATTTACATTGCAATTTATTTTTGCGAATGAGGCAGTTCTACAATTTTGGCACGATTCTATAACTTTTGCAAATTGATTATTTTCTAAATTTTAGAATTGATAAATTTTTGTACGTTGCAATTTATTTTTGCGAATTAGGAACTTTGAACATTTTTGCACGATTCAATAACTCTTTCAACCCGATCATTTTCTAACTTTAAGTATTTGTAAATTTTTTCACATTGAAATTTGTTTTCAATTAGGTGTTTCGTGAGTTATAATCTATGAAGCTTCGCATGTTACAATTAATTTTTTCTAGTTAAGTATTTTGTAATTCGGAATTTATAAATTTGGACTAGTTGCAAGTTATTTTTGCAAATTAGATATTTTGTCATTTGCAATTTATATAAATTGTAATTTATTTTTGCAAATCATATATTTTTTCATTCACAATCTGTAAATTTAGACTTATTACAATTTAGTTTTGCAAGTTACGTGTTTTGTCATTTGCAATTTTGTGAATTTATACGTGTTGCAATTAAATTTTGCAAATCGTATATTTTGTCATTCACAATGTGTGAATTTAGACATATTGCAATTTAGTTTTACAAGTTAGGGGTTTTGTTATTCGCACTTTTGTGAATTTATACGAGTTGCAATTAAATTTTGCAAATCGTACATTTTGTCATTCACAATGTGTGAATTTAGACATATTGCAATCTAGTTTTGCAAATTAGGTGTTTTTCACTCGCAATTTTGTGAATTTATACGTGTTGCAATTAAATTTTGCAAATCGTATATTTTGTCATTCACAATCTGTAAATTTGGACATATTGCAATCTAGTTTTGCAAATTAGGTGTTTTTCATTCGCAATTTTGTGAATTTATACGTGTTGCAATTAAATTTTGCAAATCGTATATTTTGTCATTCACAATCTGTAAATTTGGACATATTGCAATCTAGTTTTGCAAATTAGGTGTTTTTCATTCGCAATTTTGTGAATTTATACGTGTTGCAATTAAATTTTGCAAATCGTATATTTTGTCACTAACAATTTATGAATCTGGAACCATTATAACTAATTTCTGCAAATTAGACATTATGTCATTCTTAATTTGTGAATTTATGCACACTGCAATTAATTTCCCCAAATCAATTATCTTCGACTCTACTAAAAAACCTTGACTCACAGTGTTTCAGCAAGTTCGCAATAATTCAGACTCGCGTTAATTATCTCTGACATGCAAGCGAAAGAATGCTATTTGGTTTTTTCTAGTTTTCAATGTAACTCGAATTGCACAACATCCTCAAGGATTTCTGTCAGCGGATAAATGAATCTTGAATCGTTTGTAATTGAAACTGAATTGTTGGCAGATGACTTAGCGGCTACTTAACGATACAAAAAAAAAACAAGAGTACAAAGAACGAGGAAAACGGATCCGATGAGGCGAATCGATGGAAATATCTTTAGGTTGTGCAAGATTTAAAACTTTGCATCAACATAGGCAAGTTGCAAAATTTCTAAATTCTTAAACTTTAAATTCTTTGTATTTCATACTTTTTAATTAGTACATTATTCAATTTTAAGTATTCAGTTTTAGTAAATTATTCAATTTTAATTATTCAATTTTTGGTCTCTTAAAGTGGTTAATTATCCAAATTATTATATTCAATAAATTCTTCATTTTGAAATTTTTCAAAGTGAAATCTTTTAAATCTTTCAACTTTCAAATTTAAGAATTTTTGAGTTTGTTATGGTAATTTAGAAAATTGGATAATTTCATAATATGGACATTGGAAGATTTAGAAATTTGAGTTTCCTTGAAGATTTGGAAATTTGGTAAATTAGAAATTTGGACATGAAGAAACTCAGAAATTTAAAATATTAAAAATGTAGAGTTTTGGAAATTTGGAAAATTGGAGAATTGGAAAATTGGAAAATTTGAAATTTAGAAGTCTGGAAAATTAGAAATTTACAAATTCAGCAATCCAAAAAAATAGGATTTTAGAACTGTGGAAATTTGGAAAATAGGAAAATGGGAAAATAAGAAAATTGGAAAATTTGAAATTTATGAGTCTGGAAAATTAGAAATTTACAAATTCAGCAATCCAAAAAAATAGAAATTTAGAACTGTGGAAATTTGGAAAATTGGAAAACAGGAAAATAAGAAAATTGGAAAATTTGAAATTCAGGAGTCTGGGAAATTAGAAATTTACAAATTCGGCAATCCAAAAAATTTGAAATTTAGAACTGTGGAAATTTGGAAAATTGGAAAACAGGAAAATGGGAAAATAAGAAAATTGGAAAATTTGAAATTTAGGAGTCTGAAAAATTAGAAATTTACAAATTCAGCAATTCAAAAAATTAGAAATTTGGAACTTTGGAAGCTTGGATAATTGGAAAATTAGAAAATGGGAAAATTGGGAAGTTGGGAAATTAGAAATATAGAAACTCAGAAATCTACAAAACTAAAAATTCACAAACTTATAAATCTGCAAACCTAAAGCTATAACAAATTCATCAATCCGAAAAATTATAATCCTACGCCCCGATACTATCATAATTTCACTAAAACACCCAGCAATGCATCACGTTTCCAACAAAGCACCAAACAAAAAGTACACCGTCGTATCGCTCCAAGAGAAGCTTATTTTCCATTGATTTTACTATTCATCTCTATCGCTAATTCGCCGGTGAAAGCTTAATAAATATGTACACGCGAATATTGCCACGCGAATTAAGGGCATCGTGCAAACATTACGCCTGTGAAAAATGCAGTTTGCCCACGATCAACCACCAAGATAGTTACGCTAGGTTTATCAAGCGACACGTTTGTTAATGCGAATTTTCATGAGAAAGGAAAATTCATTGGACGCAAACGCGACTTCTGTTCCTAGCGTTAACGATGCGCGGATAAACAGAGACAATAATCAAACTTCTCATGGAGATACGAGAAATTAAAACGTAATGAGAATTTTCAGACGAATCCCATTGAGAAATTCAAACTTTCTATGGGACGACTTCTATTTACATATGCATGCGAAACGATTTTTACTCGAGGATAAAGGTTATGTCATGTTTTTCTTTCGTACTGTTATCTGTGACAATGAAAGTGTTGTTATACTGTGGTGATAATTTTGGGATTATTTAGAATTATGATTGGGGTGATAGTAGTTTTTAAGTTTTTGGTTTATTTAGAATTTGGAAAATTTTCGAAGTGGCTAGTACTTCACGGTGTTCATTATAGTGAAATTATTGGTAATTGAGTTGAGATAAAAAGGATTAATCTTGAGGAGTTTGCAAATTTGGAAATTTAGAAAATTTAGAAATTGCAAATCTAGAAGTTTGGGAATTCGATAGTTTAGAATATTAGTAGCTTGAAAATTTGACAATTGAAGAATTAAACAATTTCAGAACTTGGAAAAATTAAGGATCTGGAAATTTGAGAATTTAGAAAATTAGGGCCTTGCAAATTAAATAATTTAAGAATTTAAAAATGTCAAAATTTAGGAAATTAAAGACTTACAAATTTGAGTCGTTGCAAAGCTGAGAATTTAGAAAATGAAGTACTTTCAAATTGATAAAGTCGATTCTTCTCAAATTCCTATTCTGCCACCCTTCACACGTGATACCATAAAAAAGAGAATGCCATTAAAATAAATTAAATGAACATAAAGTGGCTATATAATAATATTCAAGTAAACTAGCTAAAAATAAAGTGACCCTATAATACTCAAGTAAACCAGGTAAAAATGAAGTGGCCATAATTCCCAACAAGATTGAACGGAAACTAACACTGCATCGTAATCCGTTCGAAAAACGAACGTTCTGTCACGAAACGCTGCAAAACGCTGTAACTCGAATACCATCCGGTCTCCTCCGGTTGTTCCATTCTCCTTTGATAAAATAATCGGTGAGCGTGTTGTTGCTCTCCCGTTGACACCCGTTCTATTTCTACATCGCGTGAATTTGATCTACACCGGCAATGGAGTGTGTACCAATGCGAGAAGCGTGGATATTGCACACCATTCAAGGATCGCAATTTACAATCGCGCAATATCAAGTGGCCGACTGAGCAAACCGCGATTAGTAGTTAGTAGTTATTACGACGTCGGATAATTGCTTGGTTAACCGATCTAACAATAACAGGTTCAGCTCTTTGGTCAGTTAATTATTGTGAATCTAAACCTTGAACACGTTCGAACGATTTCATTGGAAATTTCGACGCTGATTTTATGAGACTTGTAATAATTACTATAGCACATTTGAACGTGATTTGTTCGTTTGTCTGTACGCTAACGGACGCAATTTTGCGTCTTTTCGCTTGAAATTTTGAGGGTAGACTCAAGAGACATCCTAAATTTGCTGTATGGATTTTGGCGGCGATCTGACGACGGGAACCTGTCGACGTCGATCGAATCGATAAAAACCGTGTTTGGTATCGTTTCGATAATTTTTCACGCTTAGAATCGACTGGAAGCAGTTGAAAGCTCTATAACTCGTTGACGATACTTGGTCGTCGACGTCGGTCGTCGTGAAATCAAGAATAATCGTTTGGTATCGTTTTCGATAGTTTCGGACACGTTTAATCGTTCGGCGACTTTAAAATCTCTGCGTCTCTCGTTCTACCTATATGTTTACGGTAGGTACTCGATATTTTGATACATATTCCAATTCGCGTGAGACACCTGGTCTGTAGACTTATACAGTAACTTCATATGTATCCATTTGTCTGCCTGTTTCTATGTCTGATATAACTACTCATCGGAAATTGTCTTGAATCGGTCTTTTCAACGGAACACCTCCGATATGACGGTGATTATATCTTCAAATTGCGAATAGGACGATGATTGTATTTTCAAATAACTAATTTGAACTTGTAAGGTGACTCGCAGATGCAGGTCTGAACATTTGAATATAAGTTTCTTAGGCTTCTAATTTTTTACATTTTCAATTTTTCTATTTTTATGGTGAGAAGTTTGAATATATTCTTAGGTAAAGATTTTATATTTATAATTTTTAATTTGAACATTTGAAAGTTTCATATACTATGGCTGAATTTGAACGTTTGAAAGTTTCATATACTATGGCTGAATTTGAAAGTTTGAAAGTTTCATATACTATGGCTGAATTTGAACGTTGAATTTGATGCTTTTGTAAATTTAATTTCAAAGGATTATCAAATTTAGGGTTTTGTATATTTAGATTTGAAGCACTAAACATTTCATGTTGTATATTTAAATTTGAAGGTTTATAAATTTCATGTTGTATATTTAAACTTGAAAATCTAAAAATGTCATGTTTTTGTATATTGAAATTTGAAAATCTAAAAATGTCATGTTTTTGTATATTGAAATTTGAAGATCTAAAAATGCCATGCTTTTTTATATTTAAATTTGAAGATTTAAACATGTCATCAATTTGATAAAACTTAAAAGAGTCAAAAGTGAATTTCTCCTTCAAAAAATGTAGATTCACTTTAAATTAAGGTCAGAATTAATAAAAATTTGACGAATGTGTGTACATAGTTAATTGTTGTAATCTCTTCAGCGACAATTTAATCCGTCATGTGTACATAAAATAACTATTATTTCAAAAGACCCGTCTCCAAAAAAATCGCATGTTTACAATTACGGCCCCAAGAAGATCGATTAAAAAAAACGCAGAACATTACGATCGTTCTAAAACCGATCAAAAGGTCAAATAACATGACACCATTACCCACTCGCATCTCCACCTATCAGAAGCTATAGAGACATATTTTTCCATCGTTTCGCAGTCTCGATAATCGAAAGCAATTTATACAGTATCGAAAGCAAGCTGACGGCGGTACGGATCGATGGCAGGGACTCATGTAAAATTAAAGAGGACACGTCATAAGGGGTTGGTGCAGCCTCATAGTAGCCTTGGCTAGTGCCTCGTAATCGAGGGAGTGATTCGTGGGGAAGTTGTAGGGTCACGATCGAATCTACCAGCCGATGACCATCTGCTGACCTCTTCCGTGCCATACTCGGACAAAGAATCGAATCACGTAACAATTACCTGGCGCCAATCAGGATGGAAGTGGTCGCGCGCTCCAGGAGCTTGAAGTGCTCCACGTGGCTCTCGTTTCCTAGGAACCGCTGCCCAATCACATCGCCTGAAACAGATAGGAAAGACTTCTTCAGAAAGTTATCCTATCGAATCCTTTCTCTTCAAGGTTTCGACTGATTGCAGTCGAATTTACATACAAGGCTATATGTGTGGTTTACTTGGTCACATATATGTTCGTGTATAGACACACATGTTCACATATGGGTAACACACCCTGTTTCCACTTGATATTACCAATAACATAATAAATGAAAAGTGTTATTCTTCTGAATTCTCTCATCATACATGTTTGTTTTCTTTAACACAATTTTAAAACAAAGGCCGAACCTTTTTTAGAACCTCCAATTTTAGCTAAACTTAGTTAAAGAAGTTTAGCTTTAGAAATGTATAAAAATTAGGTAACTGATGTACAAAGTGAAATAATTAATAGAAACGTTAATAGAGGAAATTCGGATGGTTAAGGACACCCTGTATACTTGAAGCGTTCCTCTTGTTTTTATACAAATTTCCTTGTTCAATAACGCTGTTTTCCATCGGTTTGCTTCGAGTATCGAACAATCGAGGCTTCCGCCATCAAAGGAAAGCCCGAAGTATGAATCAGCCTTCAGCATGGAATGAACAGTCCCTACAACGATTACACTCGACAGCCACGCTTATTTCGAGCGATAGCGATCGAAGCTGGTGACTAACACACCATGGGTCGATTTCTCGTCCTCCATTTGATCCTCGCACCGAAACTCGTAGCAGGAAACGCGATCGTAAGCATTCTACCGCCTTCGGAAGACGGCAGATCGGTGGATGAGCATCCTACGCCCACTTGTGGATGAACACCCACAATTCTATTAGCTCACTGGCAAATTTTAATTTTAATTTTATGGCGTGGGTTATTAATTTATATCTCGAATGTAAATTAGGCAAGTTTAGTTGAAATGAAAAATAATTTAGAGAAGTAGAAGTGGTAAGTGTTTATCGAATTTTACTTAACACTAAAACTGCCAAACCGGTCAAATGACCGCTCCACAAGTTTCTTATTACAAGGCACACATTTTGTTAAAGTACATTCCTTAAAATCAGCATTAATTTGCATCAAGATAAAGAATAGATGTGTGTACTAATTTATGTTTCGTCGTTTGCTTATTTATTTTTCAACTTCATTTTTAATTTCAAATTAAATACACATTATACGTCGGTAGGTTTAGTGTTAATTTAGTTTTACTACAAGTGGTAGGAAAAGTGTCAATTGTCAAATGGATAAAATTAAAATATTCGTCTGGGTAGCAAATGTAGGTTGTGGTAGTACATGAGTTAATATTTGGACGCTGCAATACTTCTCTTTGTTGTTATATTGTATAGGAAAGATGGTTTATACTGATTTATGATCAGGATACATATCATACGTATATGTATGTATTGTATATCATACGGATGCATTATAATCACACGTATTTTTGGAAATTCGCAAGATTTCAAATTCGGAAGATTACAAATTCGCACGATTGCAAGATTTGAAAGTTTGTAAATTCGGAATGTTGTAAATTTGGAAGATGGTAAATTCGGAAGATTGCAGATTCGGAAGATTGTACATTTGAAAGATATCAAATTCGGAAGATTGCAGGTTCAAAACTTTACAAATTCGGGAGATCGTAAATTTGGAAAATTGCAAATTTTGGAGATTATAAATTCGGAAGATTGCACATTTGGAAGATGATAAATTCGGAAGATTGTACATTTGAAAGATATCAAATTCGGAAGATTGCAGATTCAAAACTTTACAAATTCGAAAAACTGCAAATTCGGGAGATCGGAAATTTGGAAAATTGCAAATTTTGGAGATTATAAATTCGGAAGATTGCACATTTGGAAGATGATAAATTCGGAAGATTGTACATTTGAAAGATATCAAATTCGGAAGATTGCAGGTTCAAAACTTTACAAATTCGGGAGATCGTAAATTTGGAAAATTGCAAATTTTGGAGATTATAAATTCGGAAGATTGCACATTTGGAAGATAGCAAATTCGGAAAATTGCAAAGTCGGACGACAGCAAACTCGGAAGATTGCAAATTCAGATTTCACATTTTCGGTGATAGTACAATTGGCTCTCTCACTCACACTAATCAGGCCAAAAACAACGACAGGCAAACATCTCTCAACTAAGTAAGCTACTACTTATTGCATTCAGGAGTTGCCATTGTCATTATTATTCTTATTTGCCAAAATGTAACAATAGTTCAAAGTGGGTCTACCTCACGCGCCAACTAGTGGTTTGATATCTATACTTCTTATTTTACATTAAAATGCACATCATTATTGACAGAGTTTAACGCTTGTTAATATTAAATATATGTAATGTTTATTAAATGTAAGGATGTCACTATAATTAATGGATATAAAATTGAAGACGTGCTGGTGCACGTTGCGCGTGCATCGTCGGTAGCCGAACACGACAAGAAGGAATTAAACAAAAGACGTTCGCATTTTACATTTCTACCAACTTATACATTCGGTAGCCTAGATAGATTATACTACCAACAATTATAAATAAATTTTACACATTCGAATTCACATGAGACATCCACTAGTTCCACAACGAATCTTTCTGTAAAATAGTATCTAAATTAACTCTTTTATGGAAAAACGTATGGTGCTGTCTGAATATGAATGTAACTGTGTCTCTCTTTCTCTCGTACACCCACGCCGATAGATTTATACGTCGGATACAGGTACGTGGGTGTATCGTCTGAATGGACGAAGAACTTGTTACGAGTGGTTGAAACGAACAGGATAACGGTGACGTCGTAAAAGAAAAGGTCAAAAGCAGAGAACGCGAGACAACGAAGGATAAAAAAGCGGCGGGGAGGATCGAGGTAAACCGGCGACAATTGCCAGGTGCAGAAAGTGGTGGAAAATGGGTTATGAGGAGGATGAAAACGCGGTGGATGAAATAGAAAGAGCAGATATTTGCTTCCATAAGTTTGCGATGTTCATCGAATCGATGACCAGAGTAGAATGCTTCAGGTCTCTTCTCTTGAACATACAGAGAATTCTTTGTACGCTCGATGTTTTCGAGGAAAGATTCGGATAATTTTTCGGATAAAACTGATTTTCCTTGTGTTTGCAAGTAGGATACTTTTGAGCAGGATACTTTTGTTGAATGTAGGATTGGTTTTAGGAGTTTTTGCACACTGTGGAAGTAGCTTAACCCTTTGCGATCAAGAGCTGACTCTCACCATTTTATTTAATCCAATCATTTGAAATAAGAATTTGTTAACTGCTTCTGTAATATAACACGTGTGATGTATAAACATAATGAAACAAATGGTGGAAATCAGTAGTAGAGGAATAATAACCTGAAAAGAATTCATTTAACTTTTATATTAGTAAGTTTTAAAGTCGCTGTTTGCAAACAGTCAGATTACCTTCGAGTGCAAAGGGTTAATGCAAATTGATAAATTTAGGAAGTTTTGAGGATATGAATTGACGAATTGGTGAATTGATAACTTGAAGAGCTGAGGAACTGATGAAGAATTGATAGCTTGAAGAGTTGAAGAATTGAATTGAAGAATTGAAGAATAGAAGAATTGGCGATTTGAAGAATTTGCAAACTTATGGATCGACTATTTGATAAAATTAAAAAGAAGAAGAATTAAATAATTGACGCTTTGAAGAATGGGAGAATCACAGAATTGAAAAATTCATTTATGCATTTACGGATTGAAGAACAGAAGAATGGAAAAATTGAAAGATGGCAGAATCAGAAAATTGAAGAATTGAGTAATTAAAAAATTGACCAATTGAAGAATGGAAGATTCGAATAATTGAAGAATTGAAAAATTGGCTAATTGAATAATGGAATAATCGAACAATTGAATACTTGAAGAATGGGAGAATTTAATAATGGAACAATCAAACAACTGAATACCTGAAGAATTGAGTAATGGAATAATTAAAGAATTGAAGAATTGCAGAATTGGAGAATTGAAAAATTGGAGAATTTCTGAATTTCAAATTGCTCAAATTTTCAATTTCTCGAGTTACACATTCTAAAATTTCTAAATCCCCAAATTCTAAATTTTGAATTTTCAAATCCTTAAATTTCCAAATTCTAAATTAAAAATTTTCAAATACTTAAATTCCCAACGTCTAAAATTTCCAAATCTAGAATTACAAATCCAAAATTTCCATCTCCCCAAATATCAAATCTCCAACTCCCCAAATAACCAAATACAATTAAAATAACCAAAATTTCAAAGTCCCAACTTCCCAAATCCCAAAAATTCCCAAACCAACATTAAAATTTCCTAAATCTTATTTACCACCCCAAAAAACTTTATCACATACACAACTACTTTAATTGCATCTATAAAATTCTATTCCAAGTTAACCTAACTAATAAATTCTTTCTCATTCAATTGCCTCCTCCAAGAAAAAAACCATACATCTTCGTAAGAGTCCAGGCTGGCAAGTTTGAAATTCAAAGAATGACTTGTACGATCGGATGAGCACCGAATGCTCCGAGATCTCTCTTTCTCTCTCCAGATCGTCCCTCTTTCTTTTTCTCCTCGAGCGGACGCTTTATTGCGGTCGCGTTTGTAGGTACACGGATGAAAAAGCATAACGTGAATAACCGCGAGGAACAGAGAAAGGAAGATAAAGGATGGCGCGATAGGCGGCATGTAGGAGATAGGAGAACGAAGAAGAAGAGGCGAAGGGATGGGAAAATGTCGAAGGGAGAGGGTGAGTCGTAAAATGTTGTAGCTGAAGAAGCGAGGGTGCGAGGGAAGAATCGAAAAAGGGACCTGCCACAAAGTAGGCGCAGCTTTATCGTCCTCTGAAAAGCTGAAAGACACCCTTTTATTTCCCTTTTTTCCCCTCTACGTTTATCTCATAACTCCATCTTTCTTTTATTGGGTCGTGACATAAGTTCGTCCTGCGTTTTATTCAACCTCTTCGAGATATAGTTTTCGAGGAGCAGAGAGGTTGGATATTATATTTTGGTACTTACTAGATTGATAGTTCATGCTCGGGTTGCTTGTGCGGGACTTAAGGTGAAATGAAAGTGATTTATGGTGTTATTGCAGTTATTGAGATCTGTCGGGGCAAATTTTCGAGTTGAAAAATTTTTATATGCTCGATTTGTGAATTTTATAACTTATGAATTTTTAACTTTCTGAATTTCAGAATAATCGAATTCCCAAAATTCCAAATTTCCTAGAATTAAAATTCCCCAAATTCCAAATTCCCCAGATTCAAAATCCCCCTAATTCCAAATTCCCCAGATTCAAAATCCCCCAAATTACAAATTCCACAGATTCCAAATTCCCCAAATTCCAAATTCCCCAGATTCAAAATCCCCCAAATTCCAAATTCCCTAAATTCAAAAATCCCCAAATTGCAAATTCCCAGATTCAAAATCCTCCCAATTCCAAATGTCCCAAATTCCAAAATCCCCTAAATTACAAATTCCACAGATTCCAAACTCTCTAGATTCCAAATTCCCCAGATTCCAAATCCCCCAAATTCCAAATTTCCTAAAACCCAAATTCCCTAGATTTCGAATTCCTCAAATTCCAAATCCCCCAAACTTCAAATTCTCTAAATTCAAAAATCCCCAAATTGCAAATTCCCTAGATTAAAAATTCCCCAAATCGCAAATTCCATAGATTTAATACACCCCAGATTCCAAATTCCCCAAGTTCCAAATTCGCCAGTTCCTAAA